AGCCCCTCACGGACCTCAAAACCTCCTCGGAAACCCCCGAACCCCTCTGCTAAGCCCTCCCGAGCCTTCCAGCCTTTCCACCCAAAGCCCCACTGTCGCCGCAGCCCCCACTAGTTCTCACAGGTCAGCGCAGCTATCACCTCCATCTCCATCAGCTTCCGCATGGCCGCCTTTACAGATATCCCGCCCCTCCCCCCGCCGCAGCCAATCAGCGCGCGGCCACGACCTCCGCCCGCCCGCCCACCTCCACGCACGGGGAACCGCGGGAGTTGCAGTTGCAGAAACTAAAACTCATATGGAAGTCGTTACTTCACTGCGAGATTTAGTTAAATCTTTGCAGATGCAGGTGGAGGAATGAGAGGCTACTGTCAATGTCCTCCAGGAAGAGATAAGGAATGAAAGGGCTACCGCCCATGTGCTCCGAGAGGAGATGTATGCAAGATTAATGAGAAAAGGGACAAAGGAATTAGAGCTGGAGTCATCTAAAGAAATATCCCCCCTGACTTCAAGGCTTTGCGTGACCGTGGAAAAGCTGCCGGTGTCATTCCATCCCCTAATTAAAACAGAATACACAGATGAGGGCTTAGAAAACTATCCACCTCAAATAACTGCAAAAGTAGTTCCATATACAGCGCCTGAATTACCTAAGTTAAAAAAGGAACATAGCAGAACCCCTCCAGAATCTATGTTTGGAGAGTCTCTCTTACTGGGGCTGACCAAATGTTGTTATCAGAAAAAGAGGCTGAAGGGTTCTGGGGAGCCAGAGTTTTCCTGACCCCAGGAGATTCTCGTGTGCCCTGGTCCCTTCCCCAAAGAGCAACCTATTGGGCAGGCAGACTCAACCCCCTGGAAAGGGGAGATCCCCTGCCTAGAGTGGGAAATGTTAATCAGAGTGTGGAAAATGTGAAATAGGCCGCTTGTTTATAAATGATGCATGATAGGGAATTAACAGCAAGACCTGACTCCCCTGTGATGCTGCCTGCAGACCCTGAAAGAATGATTGCCCTTCTCAGAGGTCTCCTTGAGGCTGTGAAATCTATTGGCATTCAGTAAAAAGGACAAATAGAAAGCCTCACCAAAGGGGAAAGAAGTGCAACCGCCTTAGAAGCAGCTTTAACCCCTGATCCTTACTGCGAAGAAAATAAGATTTAGACCTGGGGGAAGGTGGCACAGTGTAAGGAGGGTACTTTTCATTTAGATGATCAATGGAGCATAGAGGGGTGAGAAAGTGATTCTATTAGCATGTGAAACCAGCCATTGTACAATGCAACTTTATTGCACAAGTTGACTGTAAGGTCCATTGTGCCTTTAGCAAAGTTAACTAGATGTCCCTTATTATCATAGCTGAGTTCCTCTTTGGCTTGGCTACATTCTGCAAGATAGATACAAATACCCTTGAAACACAATGGTAGAGGTTGTACATAGGGGTGAGGAAGGTGATGGAGAGAGAAAGATTATGTGGACAGGGTCATTCGCCCCTTGCCCTGCAGTACAGTATGTGCAGACTGTTGCCATGAGGTGATGAACAGGTGGTGTTTGGCTGCTACTCAAGCACCACCTTATACTGCATACTGGCCCTATGTAGTGTAATGCAGAGCTAATCAAATGGGGTGTCAGGACTGCTGGGTCAACTGATGCTCATCTTCCATCCACACTGTGTTGCTCCGCGGGTACCAACCAGCCCCTGCAGACCCTGGTAGCCCTGGCCTGTCTGTGCAGGTAAGCACAGTTTATTGACAGGAAGCAACCAGGAGAGCAAACATTTTATATCCTTTTTCTTATATCCCTTTAATTCACTTTTTACTGGTTAATATTGTATCCCTTTAATTACCTTTTTTAATAGCTGATATTGTAATAGAGTCTGTTCATAGTACTGTATGAACACCAATAGATAAGGTAGGTTTTTGTATTCTTTTTTAGCTTTTGATTTCTCTTTGCTAATAGTTTTTTTACACTCACTGCAATAAAAGATGTTTTGTAGTGTTTGAATGACTGTTGTACTTGTCTTTTTCCAGGCATGTATACTAAAAAACTTGTACATACAGGAATTAATTAATTAGGGAAGAAAATATGGTCCAGCACCTTCAATTACTACTGATTCTAAAGCAATTGGGGGCATAGAATGCAAAACAAGTATTCCTCCAGCAAGACTCTGAAAGGAAACGTTCTGCCCTGGACAAGGAGGACCCACTAACACTGGAGGACACAGGGAAAAAAGGAATCCCCTGTGGACTGTGGGCTTGCAAAAAGGAATCTCAAAATCCCTAATGGATGGTCAACCCATGGAAAAATTAGAGATATTAATTCAAGAATGACCAGCAAAGGAGGGATCCCTGAAAACTGTCCCTGCTCCTGCCCCTGCCCTGGAGGGCTCACTGTAGGAGGTGGGGCCAGCAGAAGCCTGCAGAGAATCGAGCTTCTAGCAACAACAGCTGCCCGGAATTGCCTGAGTCCCAGCTACAAGGGGTCAGACCAGCCCCAGCCTTACAGACCTCTGCAGGATTTCCCTCTCCTGGGCCCCCAAAGACCACACCTCCCCTTCTTTCCTGGCTAGCCCTTCCCCCTGAATGAATAGACATGTCCTCCTAACCTATCTCTTCAGACCCTCTTATCTGAAACCCCCAGGATTCGATGCCCCCTGGTAGGAACCTACCCCTGTTCCAGAACCTTCTATACCCTCCCTATAAAAGCACCCGTGTAATAAAGGAATCAGCCATTTTGCGGGCATATAACTCTGCGTATATGTCTCATCCCCTAAGCAAGATGCGCCCTGGGCCGGATGTGTGGACATAACCCCCCCCTGATGCCCAGAAAAGAGCAGATAAAAAACTGTTTAGACAGGGTTTTATGTCTAAAGCAGCAAGGTATTTATTGATTAACGGCTGGGCAGCCTGCCAGCTAGTGCTGGGAAAACAGGCTCCGCGTTGGTTAGGTTACAGTGAGTTTTTTATACAGGTTTGGCAATGATTACAACATAAATTACAATATTCATAACAGGTGGAGTTAGAGGCGGAGATGGAGGCGTGGTCTCTATTTTGAGGAATATTATGGTGGGAGGTCCTGTTTGCCTTCATCCTGGGGGCTGTTTTTTAC